CTTCCCTATATTGAATATAAAATTTTATGTCATAATAAAGACTAAATGTAAGGTAGGTGAAGGTGTTCATAATAGACACCTTTAATCTTCTCTATAAACAAAGATCATCAGCTACCATTAGAATCGGAGAAAGCCTCTCAAACAATTGTCCTAGAGGTGGTAAGGAACAAATAATGTGAGGTTGGCAAGAAGGAATCTCTGATTATTCCAAAATGCCCCAGTCTAGGTATGACCTGAAAGTATCACTCCCAAAATTCATGTTAAAATCTGAGCCCAAGAAGATGGTACTAGGTGGAGGAGCCTTTGGAATGTGATTAGGTCATGAAAGTGGAGCCCTTAGAAGTGGGATTAGTGCTTTTATAAAAAAGGCCCCAAGCCTGGCCATCATGGCTCAGCGGTTGAGCAAAGACCTTTGATCCAGGAGATCGAGGTTCGATTCCCAGTCAGGACACATGCCTGGGTTGTGGGTTCAATCCCAAGTCAGGGATGTGCAGGAGGCAGTCGATCAATGGCTCTCTCATCATTGATGTTTTTCTCTCTCTCTCTTCCTTCCTCTCTCTGAAATCAATAAAGATATATTTTTTAAAAAAATAGGCCCCAAGAGAGCTCCCATGACTCCTCCCTGCCACGTGAGGACAAAATGAAAAGTCTGCATCCCTGAAGAGAGCCATCACCTGACCACACTGGCACTCTGATCTCAGACTTCCAGCCTCCAGAACTGTGGGAAATAAATTTGCTGTTTATAAGCTACCCAGTCTGTGGTATTTTGTTATAGCAGCCACAACAAGCTAAAACAAACATCTTCCCCCTGAATATTCTACGACCTGGCGCAGAGACCTCTGTGCTTAGGCAGTGAAAGGGCCGTAGGGGTGACCACACACAAAGCCAACTGTGTATTCCTCAAAAGTCATAGAGCAAACACAGAAGAACAGGTGATGTGTGGGTAGAAGGAGAAGAGTGCTGAGGGGACCTTGGAAGAACTAGGGGAGAACATGCGATTTTTTGTAAGTG